CTAAGATTGAATCTTGTCTAGTCGGACGCGTGACGACTTGCTTAAGGTTGTGACTTGTAACTAAATCCTGTATATTGAGACGATTAAAATCGCCTAAAACGACTATGCCACAATCAGGGTATTTAGAGCGTATAGTATGGGGGATACATCAAACCTTGGGGGATACATCAAACCTTGTAGGGGACCTCGTGTCCTGTTGTTTGTTTGTTCGCCTAGTGTATTTATACTATGCTATTGTTACTCTATACAGAATTTTAAAAATAAAATAAAATGAAATTAAGCACAATTCAAGATCAGTGATCTCAATGTTTTATGCTTAATTGATTTTCCTGGTTAGTTTTTTCAATTACAAGGGCTGTAATGTGCCTTAAAAACCATCATTCAAAAGGCTGAACTGTGCCTTTAAAACATAATGAAATCATTCCATCAAATACAGTATGTTCTAAAATCAAAATAAATCACCAACCTTGACTGTAATTACTCCGTTTTTCCCAACCTTCTTCATGGCAGACGAGATAAGATCCCCAACACTTCTATCTCCATTCGCTGATATGGTTGCAACCTAGATTTATATTAATTATATAAATATATTTTAACTAAAACAAGTTGCTGGGATAAACGTTGAGCTTACGGCCTTGTTTATATTGAAACATAAATCTTAAAGAGTAAGTATCATGCCAGTGATTTTGGGCGCTTGGCGTCCCAGAAATGGTATTATAAATATAATGATATGTATAAGTGATCTCCAAGATTTCATTTGTATTGGCCCATATTTTTCGGAATCCTATTGAAAAACAACTCTATTTCTTCTTTAAAACGAAGTAAGTCATTATATCTTGTGAAATGTTGCGTTTTTTTATGCAAAATATTTGTACTGAAAGTATATTCATGAGATACAGCAAAATGTAAAAATAAAATGTAAACACAAGCGTGCAATGGATCACTGGCATGATACTCACTCTTAAAAAGAACTTTCATATTGATATTGCACATACAGTACGGTATAGGTAGAGTAATATATATCTAACATGCCTATAGAAAAAGATTACTGGGCATTATTTGTTATTTATCACTCTGCTGTCACAAAGAAAGATCACTAATTCCCACTCTAAGCAAAGAACATTTCCTATAAAATATCTACATCTCAATTGCCCAAATATAAATATGCAAAACTAGGCAAGTCACACACAGCAGTATAATGAACTACATTGTCCCACTCTATCTTCCCAACCCCATGCCTCTGTTTTGGTAGTACCTTTGGTACCCTGGATCAAGGTGTTTCCTTGTTTCGCTGAAGCTGTACCCTGCACTCAGGCGCCACAAGTTAAAACTCGCCTAACACCAGAAAACCTCTGCAGCCAGGGTATGCATTTGGTGGTAACAAATAGAAACAATCTTCCGATTGCGAATTTCATTTCTTCCGATTGCAGATTTTCTTTATCAACCCAAACATACCTGAGCTATTTCTTCTGGTGTTGTTACTTGTTTTGACATTTCTTTTAGATGACTTACAACATGTTCAGTTGCCAAAATTACTCCTATATTATTAGAAAACAAGAAGCGGATGTTCAGATGTTCTAAAACAACAGATGTTCTAAAACAAGGGCGGTGAGGTGTAAGCGGCGCCACTGAGCGAGCTTCGGCGTTAGGTTAAAGACATTCACACAAAATAGGAGAGGCGAAGCGAAATTTTCGTGGGGTTGAATACTTTATAAGAGGGGTTAGAAGGATTCTAGAGTGGGGGTTAACCCCCCCAGTAAATCCGCCCATGTTCTAAAATACCATTCGACGCTACTTTAGGATTAAACTGTATTTCATGCACGCCAAGGACTGGATTTTACCAAGATGAAGTTAGTTAGGGCCAAAATGAAGACAGGTTATTGTAATTAGTACTGACTGGCCCTAGATGTCTTGCCCAGTTTTATGGCTAGAATATAGTTTGTAGGACACTCTGAAATTTGGTACTGGGACCTCTCTCTTCCACAGAGGTTCATATGGAGACGCAGTGTTATTACTGAAGCAAGCGACGCCAAGTACACCAACCAGAAGTCAATCAAGCCGTTATAGATGGCGTCAGTGTAGTTCTTGCTTCAAATCAAGAACGGCAGTCGATGCAATTTCACGTTCGTGATTTCAAACAGGAATGACTATCGCTATCTATAACGGCTCGATTTACTTCCGGTCCGCGTTCGTGAATCAAAAGTATCTATATTGTCTTGCGAGTGCAACTGCGTTCCTCCCTCGCACATGATGAGTGGAAACCTCTGTCACATTACATTATTTAGTTCAATGTTTACTCTGTGCCTCTGCAGAAGAGCACTGGGAGTATACCTCGTCTGATGTCTTGTGGATTAGCACCTCTGGAAACTTTTTCAAAACCTTCCTTCGCAATATGTTTAGCAAGAATCGTTGCCGTTGTCGTGCCATCTCCTGCTTCTTCATTCGTGTTATTGGCAACATCTTGAACTAAACGAGCTCCAAGGTTTTGAAATTTGTCAGGTAAATCAACTGCTTTAGCGACTGTCACGCCATCTTTTGTAATCTTAGGTCCACCAAAGGACTGCTCAATGATCACATTTCGACCCTGCATTATTGGAAATTGTAATAAGGCTGCTATGCTAAATACAGTACATTACAGTCTACATTATAGTACGTTCCTTTAGTTTTTGAAGAACTACATCAAGAATCGTGATCTTTATAATTTTCAAACATCTTCACCCCTGATATTTGTGGTGTTACTCTGAGTGTATATCCACACCGGGCGAGCTTGAAAAATATGCCCGGCCACGGTGGGATTCGAACCTACGACCTTTGGAATACTAGCCCAATGCTCTTCCAACTGAGCTACGCGGTCAGGACGGTTCGAGTAAGTGATATTTCGGAACAGAATCTAGTTCCTTCGATACCAATATATTCTAGTAATATGAATTTTTTCTGTGTTGGTGTAGTGTACTCACAATATCATATTCACCTGAGTACACTACACCAACACAGAAAAAATTCATATGACTAGAATACATTAGTATCGAAGGAACTAGATTCTGTTCCGAAATATTACTTACTCGAACCGTCCTGACCGCGTAGCTCAGTTGGAAGAGCATTGGGCTAGTATCCAAAGGTCGTAGGTTCGAATCCTGCCGTGGCCGGGTATATTTTTCAAGCTCGCCCGGTGTGGATATACACTCAGAGTAACACCACAAATATCACGCAACGATTTGTTAAACAATTGACATAGAGATGGAGCTATTTGAGATGCAGTTTCTGTTAGTAAACGAGCAGGAATCCCATCTGGGCCATGAGCTTTGTCATTATCAAGAGTTCTTCAGGGCATTTTTTAACTATATAACAGGGGGGCCAAAGCCTCCCAGCCCCCATGGTGCCCCCCCCCCCACTCAACCATTTTGGCCCCCCAGTCAAGGTCCCTTTTCTCTAAAATATAAGCAAAACATGGAATTTAGAAGGGAGGTTTGATATTCTAGTAACTGAAATTTGCTTTGTGAATCTTATGTCCTGTCTTTTATCTTTAATAAATACCTTATTAGATTTTAAACATTTTCCAGGCAGTGGATTGCATTTCCCAGACCCTATAGAGTTTGAGTTGTTGGACAAGTTAGTGACCGCAGGGGGCAACAGGCCCTCAACCAAGTGTTTTATAAGGGGGGAGGGGGGATAATTTTGGCCCCCACCAAAAAAAAAACAATTTGATTTCGGAAACTAGAAGTATTTGAAATCATATATACATATCATCAAATATCTGTGATCGATATTTTGATAACATTTCTCGTAATAATCCATCCTGACTCGCGGATATCATAGACTCACAAATCATAATGAACGAATTAATGAAAGGGCCAAACAAAAGACGTATAGAAGACTTTGAAAATGCCATTTCCGATGATTTAGAGACGCAAAATTTTCAAAATTTTTCCGCTCTGTGCCAACCATGGTGGCGCTTCGTGGGAGTCGGGAACTCTAAGTTTATCAAGCTGGCTCCTTAAGTGACGGCCAAGTTGTGGTATCTACATAAACATACTATGCAAGTACTTAACTGAAGGTTCAGTCTATCTACAGCATAATGTAATGGTGTATATCCAAAAATCTGTTTCAGAAAATGCAGGGAATTGCAGTCATAGGGGTAGAAAAATACAAAAATTTTCTGGGGGAGAAAATCCCAGACCTTTTCCAGGGCCGTAGCTAATAATCATTCATTTGCTAATAATCCGTTGCTAATAATATTCATTTTTCAAAATCATGCAAACCTTTATTATTTAATCCATGACAAACTGCAAAGAATGAAGATATTACCCATACTTTCCTGCAACTTATCCAATATATCGTTAATTAAATACACCTTCGTCCATTTAGTACTACTGAATTCTAAATTTCCACATACTAAAAACGCTGTTTTCTGACAATCAGAAATCTGTCAAATCTTCCCCAAAGTCCAGGAAATGGCATTTCAGAGACTCTAAATTTAAAAATTTCCTCGGGCCTTCGGCCCTCGCTTTCAGCCCCCCCCCAAACGAAAAGAGCTTCCTACGGCCCTGCTCTCCCCCTCCCCCCTACTATTAAATGCGATACCATACCAAACGTTTTTTTTTACCAACAAACCATCTATCATTGCTCCACACTCGGTATAGTATGGTCCCTTTTTGTAGATGGCCCCCCCACTGACGAATTCTTAAAAAATGCCCTGGAGTTCTTAGTACATTAGCTACGTCGTCAGATGTTAAAACTACATCCTCCAACAAGGAAATGTTATCATCGATCGTGGACGGGTCTATAGAAGTATCTGGTTCATTGGTGAAGATGGATGTAAAATAATTATTAAAGAGAGTTGCTATGTCCGCTGGTGTTTCTGAGTATTTCCTTGAATTTCCTTCAACCCCCATTGAGACTTTCTCGGGAACATTGCAAGATTTGGTTTTTAGCTTGAAGAGCGACCAGAAACGCTTTGGGTTATTCCCGTGATCATCACAAATAGAGTTGATGTACTTTGAACGACTTTCACGCAGCATTTTTTTAATGGCAGTTCTGAGATGGATGTTTGAATTTTTCTTTCAGGTTAGTAGATGTAGGAGATTTCCTTAACTTCCGCCGTACAGAGTTTAGCCCGCGTGCAGGCCCAAGGGAACTTAGGAAACTGATAGTGGGCCTGCAAGCAAAGCCCGGTATTTTGTACTTTCCGCGTTCGCCAACGAACGCGGCATTCTGATTGGCTGTTTGCTGTTGGATTCTATAATTAGGTCAGTGATTCATCACAAAGGTAACCTGAAGTTCAGGCCCTAATTTGAAATAGGGCCTGACACAAAACCTGTCTAGACCGTGGGACGCCCACATGTTATTTTTAGACACACATGCAATATAATTGACAAGTGTTGTAGATTTCGTTACACAAAAAATGATATTCTCATGAACATGTCCGCAGAGCATTTTGCTTTTTAATTAAACTTAAAAATTCAAGGTACTTTTATATAATTAAGAGTCAGTTTCTCTATTTAACCGAACAGGCGAACAGCAAACAAAGATTTAATTAGTCAGTTCTGTGCACGGCTTGACTGCCAAGCTTTCTCAAGGTCTCAACTTGCTGGACGCGGATATACTCTAATGTCTCAATCAATTCCATGGGTGCCCGACACCCCCCGGGCGTTTGTCGGGCATTCTCAACTGTACTTGTTCCCAGGGTCGGGCATTTGCTTTCTGCAGGTTAGCCCCGGGGTGGGGAATTTGCTCGAGGCTAAAATGTCGAATATTTATCGCTTGTTTCTCCATTTAGCCGTACTTTAGTACGCATGTTTACACGAGCGTGCGTATCGCAAATTAATCATGGGGAATAACACAAGACTTTTTTCTTGTCCATCCTGTTGATACATTGACTTACTTCTGCAGCTTGATATTGCTATATAAAGTTTTGAGACTTCAATATTTTAATTAAAAACGTTTTAAAACGAAATGGCTATAGAATCGATTTTAAATACAGATATATTGATACGTGATAGAGCTTGGATTCGATTTTTTGGATCAGAAATCCTCAGAAAACTTATATTTTGTCCTCCAAGGGTGGGGCATTTGCGTCAATATAAGTCCCCAAGGGTGGGGATTTTGTTGCATTATTTGGACCCCGTACTGGGGCATTTGCAACGTTTTTTCGCCAAAATGACAAAAGCCCGACAAACGCCCGGGGGGGTGTTGGGCACCCATGGAATTGATTGAGACATAACGACTAACGGGCTAATAACAGCAACAATTAAATTCTCAATCATACCACGAAGAAGGCGATGTAGCTCAGAAAACAATTACGCCGGTAGGACCTGATATTAAAAATAAGACTTTTGCCGGCGAAGCAAGTTGGCAGAACATCTTGGCTGTCAACAACAACTGAAGCTTTCGAATACATGACTAGTTTGGCTGTTCTTTCAGCGTCGTGTGTGTCCAAATTCGTCAAAGATTTTGATGAAGCCCTTTCAAAATACTGTTTGTTTGATTTATTTTCTGCCATAAAGCATAAAAAAGAAAAAATTCGAAGAAATCGATAATGGAATTTGTTACGTGCGTTTGACCTTTATATTAATTCTCGCCTTGACCCGTTGACCGAGCTATTTTTAAAACTGTTGTTTATGTGAACTTGCAACCAATCAAAATCCTTCATGATGCTGATCAACCAATCAGATTTCCCGTCCACCAGGTGGACGGGAAATCCCACACTTTAGATATTACGGATGTCACCGAAGTGTGCAAGCCACTAAAATTTCGCACGACCGCCACGCCCACAAAGCGTTAGCGACCCGCCCCAATCTCGTACCCAGAGTATGCCCGTTCGCAGGTTAGGTGCTGGGCATGACTCAATCTCGTTCCCAGAGTATGCCTGTTCGCGGGTTAGGTTGTGGCATGACTCTGGGGAAATCGAATCGGAATCGTTATTTGATTGGCTGCCGTGATCATCAATACTGCCGACACAATTAATGCGTGTTTTTTGCGAGAATTACGCGTGAAAATACGCGAAGAGAGAATTATCAATGTTTATCAAATTTGGAATGCGAAATCAAACAATATAAATCGAAGGATATAATATTAATCCTATGAAAAAGTACTGGGACGTTGGGTATATACTTACAAAATGGCATGGTATTTATGAATGACTTTTTATCGATCTACAGTATGAGTATATTCATTATATTAACTATGAAAGAATTGGCTAAATGAAATCATCGCATACGTTGTCGTTGTTTTGTTAAATTGACATATTGTTGCCACGACTTTGGAGTGACAGCTTTTGCTTGTGTTAAAAACTTGAAGCTTTAAACAATACAGTACATTATGGTCAACACTCAACATGTTATAGTCTGTGGTGCTTTTGTAAATGGAGTTATCTATATAAAGTTAAGATGCCAGGTGTTTTTGTAGCATCTGTATAAATTATAGAATAATTGATTTAAGAAGTTCCTCAGGTTGTAAAACATTTGGTTATAGACTTGCTTTGTAAATGATTGCCACTTGACAGCATGATGGGCTATTCCATTTAATATTGGTACACCCCCTGTTGAGGATACATGTTTTTCATGGTTATACCCTTGAAGAATTCCAAACTCAAAACCTTTTACCCCTGAAGAATTCCAAGCTCAAAACCCTTTACCCCTGAAGAATTCCAAGCTCAAAACCTTTTACCCCTGTTCAAAGAATTCCAAAATTCCAAGCTCAAAACCCGTTATACCTGAAGAATTCCAAGCTCAAAACCCTTTACCCCTGAAGAATTCCAAGCTCAAAACCCTTTACCCCAGAAGAATTCCAAACTCGAAACACTTTACCCCTGAAGAATTCCAAACTCGAAACACTTTACCCCTGAAGAATTCCAAGCTCAAAACCCTTTACCCCTGAAGAATTCCAGGGATCCTCGACAGGGGGGGGGGGGTTATGGATATTAAATGGAATAGCCCGATGTAAGGCTATAACTAAGCCAAACCTGAAACAATTTTTACATCAATTTGTGTCTGGATAAAAAATAAGTAGTGAATTTAAATACAGATGTTTCCTTGTCTGTTGCTATGTGAAACAATGTTGTTTATAGGAATAAGAGTCATTGTTGATCAATAACAATGCTCATTTGCTAAAAATATACAAGTATTGATTCCATTTCCAAACTATTATACTATTTGAATATATTGGCAATTAATCCAATTATATATAAAAGGAGATACTGACAGTAGAATTGAAATAGCTACCAGTGTCAATCAAATAACTACTTTAATTTCTGTATCAACTATCAAGCCTCCTGTGTATTGTTTCCTAAGCATCATTGAGGGGGCACTTGTTCTAAATATATGCAATAAGTCTGGTTACCATTAAAAAATGTCCATATTCAGAGTTACCGTTGTACTATATTTTATTAAAATACTGCAGAAATGCAATATATTTCATGATTTTAAGAAATTGAATGAGGGCTGCATGGTAAAAAGAGGAAGGGGGCTTATTTATTTTTGATTTTTGTATCCAAATGAGGGGGGGGGTTATTGGAGAGAGGCTTGAAGAGAAGGGGGCTAAATATAGAAATTACAGTACCTCTATTCCTTCCTCTCCCTTCCCAAACATGCTGCAGGAGAGGGGCAACTGCAGGGGTTAAAGCCTGGATTGCAAGGTTGATGTATAATTTGCATGTTATGTACCGGGTAATATGGAGAAATGAGCTAGTAAATATATCCTTGCCTATAATTAGTTGCTGATTAAATGTTCAAAGATACACAGTGTGAAGCATGAAGAACAAATGGAAGATACCCACAACCAACAAATTTTCAACAAATATATATATGGATTAGTTCACTTCATTTCTTACTTTCGACACAAGTAATTATGGTAATTATAATTACAAACACAATGTACTGTCAGTTAAAGACTTTATATGTGATACATGTATATATGTTAATGTAATATAATATAAAAAATAATGTGTTTATTGTTAAAATATGGGATATATAATACCGTAAACCTCTGACTATAAGCCCTGGGCTTATATTCTTTTGTAAGTGATTTTTGATGGGCTTAGGGGAGGGGGCTTATATGCATGGGGGCCTTATACATGGACGATCAATTGTGTTAGTAATAAACAAGTCAGTCATAAACAGGAAATAAACATGTATTAATAACACACTTCCATTAACATACTGTAGTAAGCTATAAAGACAATGACAGTGTTTCAAATATCGTTCTCTGCTATATTAAAAGACAATGTCAATGTTAAATAACATAGTGGGATACTGGGCTTATATTCAGGGGGCTTATATTCAGGGGGGCTTATATTCAGGGGGGCTTATATTGGGGGGGGGCTTATATTTGGAATGAGGTGAGCATTATATTCAGAGGTTTACAGTATACAGTTCAAAAAAGCTTGTATTTTCTTGTCACAGACACACATTTCTGGGTGCATATAGAACAGCTTATACGTCAGGTTCTCATGTCGATCCAATGGTAATTTGATATCGCTGCCATCATCATACTATAGTGTAGCACAGAATGGCCTTGTATCATACTTTTACATCATGCATGCAGAAATGCCTTGGTCATTCATGTGGAGATATTACTATCACGATAGAATTAGTTACGCCAAGTAACACGTCGTGCACGTCAGGTAGCAGCTGAAATATTTTAATATTTGCCATAATAAGCCCATAACCTGTTGGCAAAACAACCAAAACATCTTCACCATTTTACATTATGGCCGAGATACATTTGAATGTCAATGTCTCGTCTTTTAACGAATATTCAAGCCCTCTTTTCGCTAGAACAACTTTCATAGCTCTTTCAGTATTTGCCATTGAATATAATTTAATAGTAGTACGATTTAAAGCACCTTTAAACGTATAAAAACCCATTTTGTATACTATATTCTGATGGGAATCTTTGTTTAAAACAATATCGAGTGTGAGCATGTGCCCGCGCGAATTTAGTAAGCGGAATAAACAAAAGCAATAAAAGCGCATGCGCCATTTATCTCATTTTGGATAAAAAAAATTCGATTTCCCCAGAGTCATGCCACAACCTAACCCGCGAACAGGCATACTCTGGGAACGAGATTGGGCATGACTCTGGAGAAACGGAATGAAATTATCAATTTCATTGGCTGGCGTGAGATCAATAACACCGATACCGGAAATTGGTGTTCAAGTGCGGGAATTACACGTGGAAATTCACGAATACGACGTAAACAAAGTCGAAATTGCATTTATTTGCAAGATTTCAAATACAAGTTAATTGTTACATTTAATCTGATTGTGGCTTTATACGTACGATCTGTACACTTTTGTATCTTGTATTATGGCAAATACTTTTTGTTTGTTTATATATAAATTACCGATATGATGTAACAAAATATTTACTTCAATTCAATTGCGCCAGTGATCGCCAGTGTTGGGATTTTGGCTTGTTCTGGACCTGTTGTGTTTGCCGTTTGGAAATAGCCATCATTGAATTTTTGTGTGGATATAAGACTCTATTTTTGAGTATACCATAATATTCTTTATATAACTTTATAAATATATTAAAGTATTAAATTATGTGAGCTATGGATGGTGGAATATTCGGTTAAAATAGTAGTGGAATATTCGATTAAAGTAATAATTTTATAACAAACCTACTGTTAATTTAAACCCTCCACATCCTCTCTCAAATTGAGATACAAGCTATAGTTTCTAGACTCCATGCCTGAAATAAATAAGCTGCTTGGCCAGCTTGGGGCTTAACAGAAAATAAACAGGACAGCAGTGTAGGGTACAAACCACTCTCCCATTTCTGAAAGCCTTTGGATGATATAGCATCCATGAAAGCATAGGTTGGGAATAAAATAAGCTTTAAATTGCCAGAATTTTGAGGTAAAATTTAAAGGACTGAGATTTAGAGCACCATAAGGTGTTCACGTTGTGGCAACCGAATGCCTTCCCACCAAAAGTGTCTGCTACTGCAGTAAGAGCATACAATATGATGTGCTGAAATTATATATGCTAACAATATCAGTATGGCTACGACTAGTGGTGTAGTCCTGGAATGTTAACAAGGGGGGGGGGGCTCTCCAACAGGGGCAAAACTTCTGTATTTGATCATTTGCTAATTAATATTTCTTTTCCCAAAATTGTTGGTGAGCGGGGAGCATTTTTCACTACCACTTTTTCCTACCACTATTACTTTTCAATCTGAGACACTCAAATATTTTCAAGATTTGCCCGACTAAATTGTATGGGTATACCCGATGAGATCGAGACAGGGGGTGTCACCCCTACACACACCCCCAGGTAGTTTTGTCCCTTTTCTAAGTCCCCCTGAGCCCCTCCCCTACTAGACCACTGGCTATGACAATGCCATAGTGGCAGCAGGTCATCCCACATGCATCTTACATTCCACTTGCAACATTATATAGTTAACGTACAGTACATATCTAATGGGAATAGTAGCTAGTTACCTTGATTTGGCCATATACCTGTTGCAGGCATACATCAGCACATGTAAGTTATGATTTGTCTTCCAGGGATATGAAGCAATGTCAGGAGGTCAGGGTAATGTAGCTTACCCCATAACCCCAATAATGGCAGATTTCCCAATCAGTGCCCCCAGTTTTGGATAGGCAATTTAGCAACACCCTGCCTTGCCTGCCACCTTTCAGACAGGCACCCAACCTGATGACATCAGTCTGTGTTAATTGTTAAACCCATAGATAGGTCTCCTATATCTATGGTTAAACCCAATAGTTATGATAAATGATAATATTATATCAGCAAAAACATTTCAAAGTTCAAACACTGTGTCATAATTCCATTTAATTAAGTTATTTTCAAGCATCAATAATTAATTGTCAACATAATTTTTTATGACTCAACTAATAAATAAATTAAATACATATAACCATGGAACTGTTTGTATGAATGTAATGCAATGCATAATACAGTGCCGTAGCCAGAACGATAATTGGGGGGGGGGGCACATATTCATATATTCGTGTTCACATACCATAAAAACAATTGATTTCAAAAGAAATTAATAAAGCAGAACACGAATATATGAATATGTGCCCCCCCCCAATTATCGTTCTGGCTACGGTACTGGCACAATGTTAAATCAAACTTATCACAGGACAAAGGAATGATATAGCTAGAGTAATAACAGAGGGAAGTATTTTCATGCTTATTTTAAATATCAATACAATGCACCAATTAAAGTATCACTATGTAATTGTAATAAACAAAATAGGCTAACAGGTCCACAGTTGCCCATAAAGCATTCTACATATTTTAATAATATAAAAAATATCTAATAGTTTGTAATAATCTAGATCCTCTATAAAACCTCTGTCAGTGGCCTTCTTGCGAAGTCTCTCGATACCATTTCTTGACCGTATAAAATCCATAGAAATGATTAGTTTATATACACCGCATATATATTTACTCTGTAACTTTTAGCACAAGAAAATGAATCTTTTTCAATTGATTTCAATGTAAAACAGTAAAAGTATCAAATTTTCGACTGAATTCTACGATTTTATTTATGATTGCAACTAATGACGCCCGCACGAATTCAATGTTGCGGTTTGAGCGTGAGCATGCGCACAACTAACCGGATATCCAAAATTGGATATCCGGTATTCCGTTTCTCCATAGCCTGCGTGCAGGCCCAAGGGAACTTGATAGTGGGCCTGCAACCATCACCCCATGTTTTCGATTTTCGCCGGCCGAACCGCCGGCTAAATTCCCATTGGCTAGCTGAGGCGATCGGTAATTAATTAACCTAGCCCATTGTGCAGGCCACAGAATAGATATAGAGGTGCAGGCACAAGGGAACAGTGATTCATCACAAAGGCATAGACAAAGGCTCTCGATAAGCTTAAAATTTGAAAATTGATCACTTTTTTCGATTACAAATGGAACAAAAACAGACTGTTTATTGTTTACTTGAAGGAAGACATGTTTTTGCCGTTATGCCAATGGGGATTGCTTGTCGTGAGGTGTTGGAATAGCAACATTACGACTGGG